TTATGGATGTGACTGCCCAGGGTACTCAGGGAAGTCTGTGGATACGAACCCAGAACCTCCCCATGTGGGTCAGCCTCACAGGGTGTCTCATTTTACTGCTGCACCACTACCCAGCCCCCCAAAATATACTTTATACTTAAAAAAATGTTTCTTTTTCCCTAGAAGGTATATACACTTGTCAGAGAGAGAAAGAGAGCGAGAGAGTGAGAAGGAGAAAGCAACCTCCAAGGAGAGTACTTACATGACAGTCCCTTCTCTATTTCTGTGTGTCAGCATTTGAGATCTGGAATGATTTTCAAGCCACCAGGCTTGGGACTCAAACCACGTGGTCAAACATGTGGGCCCCAGCTTCCTTAATGACCAGGCCATGGACTAATCCCCAAACTACACTTTAAATATGCTTGTTGTAGAAAATGATGAGTATGCGGTGCCTTGGATTAGTATGCTCCCGAAGTCCATGTGTTGGGAGCTTCATCCCCCAGGCAGCTGTATAAGAGGTAGGGCCTCTAAGAGGCAACTAGGCCATGAGGGCTCCACCCTGATAGGTGGGTTTAATACCTTTTGATAAAGGCTTTGAGAGTGTATTTCTCCAGTCTCTCATGCTTGCTCATCTTTTCATCATCTGCCCTGGGATGACAGAGTATGAAGACCCTCACTAGATGCTGGTGTCATGCTCTCAGACTTCCCAGTCTCCAGATCCATGAGCCAAGTATATTTCTTTTCTTTATAAATTACCCAGTCTGTAGTACTCTGTTGTAGCAATACAAAATGGACTAAGACATATGGAAAAGTTAAAAGAAGAAAAATAAATCACTCTACTCACCAAACCACAGGCAACTATGAACATTTTAGCATTGTCTTCATGGTCTTTCTAAAAGAAATCTCATTTTGAAAGCACGATTGAAGTGATATTGTAGAGTTTTGCATTTTGCTGGTTTTTCCATATTTTAACAAAAAATGTTCTTCATTGTACTAACACTATTTGTAAAACAACTTTAATGGCCTTATAATATCCTGATAAATGGAAGCGCTATGTATTTGGGCCTCACTAGAAAATAGAAACCATTCTAAGTATTTTATTATTAAAAGAATTATTTTATTAAATTAAATTTAATTTATTCATTTATTTTAACTTGACCAGAGAGGGGGAGAGAGAGAGAGAGCAAGCCGCCAGGTCTGGGACTTGAACTGCAGTCGGCCATGTAGGAGTCCAGTGCCCTTAACCACCATGCCACCTGCCAGCTCCAGTTTTTTTTTTTTTCTAATTGTCAGAGAGCATGTATGCTCACCAGAGAGAAAGAACCAGAGAAAGAGAACACACCATGCAATGGGGTGTGGTCATGCCACAATCTATTTCTTCCCTTCATTTCTCCTTTCCATCGAGATTTTGAGCATGCAAGCTCAAGTACCCTGCATGTTTTTAAGCCACCAGGGTGGGATTTGAACCACAGTCAGTCATGTAGGATCCAGCTCTCTTAACCACTAGTCTGTAGGTCAGCCCATAACCACTCTAAGTATCTTAATAGAATTTCCAGGAGGAAATTGGTTATAGGGATGAAGGAAGGATCAAAGAGCCAAGAGGAGGACTGAAGGGAGACCCAGAGGTTAGCAACTGTAGGAAGCCAGTATAGACTGAAGGAGCAGTGAAAGGAGTTGATGTTGCCATGTCTAGAAACTAGAACCACAGAGTGAAGCTAGAGCAGGTCTGGGTACTGAGTTGGCCATGTTATTATGAAGGAGATGTGGTGATGTCAGATACCAAGGGAAGCAGAGATAGAGGGAGATTCCTTCATCGCAGCCTTTCACCAGTGTCTCTCATTGGCTGAATCTGACAATGGCCCCTTACTTGTGCCAAACTTTCAGTGGTTCACCATTATGGTCTTCTATAGAAGGTCCTGCCCAGTCTGACTCAGGCTTAAATATCCATTGTCATCTCCTGCCGCTGGCTCTCCTCCTCATCAGAAACCTGAGGTATAGGCACTCCAACCTTGTCACGGTCTCCTTTATTGCCTCTGTGCCTCTGTGCCTGCTATTCTTGCATCCTAGAATGCCCTTCTCATCCCTGTGGGCCATGTTAGACCCAGGTCATTTTTCTAGATGTGTTTCAACTGTTACTTTGTCTGAGAAGCCCTCCTTTCCCCTTCTCTGGAGTAGATATGGTTGAGTCCTTCACAACATCACATTTTCACCCTTCAGAGGCATGTCTTGGCATCTGTATCTGCTTCTCCTCCACTAGACTGCAAGGTTCTTGGTGGTGGGGGGGCCCCATTGAGGCATGTTTTGAGCATCACACTACATAGCTGATACTGTGAGAGCTCAGAAAATCAGGGCCAAATAATTAAAAATGCTGTTCTCCTACATCCACAGCAACTGACCTAGAGGGCTGTTAAGTGAGGAAAAAACAAGTTGCAGAGTAATGTGCGTGAAATGCCTTTATTTTAATAAAAACAAACAACGCCACCTCCTCAAGATGTTTTATGGAGGAAAGAGTAGAAAGGCACAAACCAGACTGGCCACCATTGGTTATCTAAGGGGGCGGGGCAGCTGACAGAGACTACAGAGATATTTCATTGCTTATTTTAGTAATCTTTAAAAATGATGGGATGCACAAGCTACTTACAATTTTTGAGAAGGAATTTAATAAGAGGGTTCATTAATAAGGGAAAGCCATGGTTTCCCTCTTCAGAATGTGGCCAGGTCCATCATGGCCTTATCTCCTCTGACTGGATACTTCCAGAAACCTGGGATCTGTGTTGAAAGTCCCTGGCTTCCTGCTCCATCTCTCTGCTTCTGGTTCAGGTCCATCTGGAGGACAGACTGCAGAGGGGGCCAGTGGGAGCATTTCCGAACTTTAGGCCTCACAGGGTCCAACCGGCTGGGGGGAGCTCGGCACAATCTTACAGCCCATAAATCCCCATATTCTCAGTGCAGAGAGCTCTCAGTCCTTAACTGCCAGGCTCCAACTTGAAGCCAGAGGCTCGGCTTAGCTTCCATTACAAATGTCCTGAGCCATGCAGGCTCTTAATAAGAAAATTGATTCAGCCCCAGGCTTAATCTCTATGGTACATTTTTTTTTCCATGACAGCAAGTTCATGGCTCTGCAATATCTGATTTAGATGTTCTGAAAATTTATTTTTTGACAAGGCTTAATTAAAGTGGATTGCACCTATCCTATATGGGGACATTTTACAATTTCCATAACAAATACCATTATCACCAGCAGCGGTGTATTGTTTTGTTCTATTGATGTGTTTTATGGTGATGTCATAAAAAGAAGATGATGACTTCTCATTATGAGGCAGATGGAGAGGAAGACGCATTTTGATTACCAGAGAGGAATATGTTCTTTCCAGCCACCTTAATAGCCAGCGAGGGCCGGACTGGATGGGAAGGGGAGGCCTAGGCAGATGACTTTTTTATGAGCCTGACTTTTATAGCAGCTGCCTTTTGTATGTTTTAAAACGAAATCCATTAAATGTGAAGTTGATTCTTCAGTTTGGCGCGAGAGGAATGCTCCACAGATTATATATCTTTCTGAATCTATTATTAGCAATTAACAAAACTCACTTTCTGAGTCTCTTAATTTAGAAATGAGTAACTAGGCTTACTTTAAAAAAATCCATTATAATTAAATAATGCTTTTTATCTATTAAGTATTGTGTGAATCATCCATTTAAAAATATTTTGTATTATAAGAGCAATATATTTTCACTGTAATAAACTCAGTAAACATGGTCTTCTTCTGTATTTAAAAATATCAGACTTGACTTCTCATATTGTGACTATTTTAATGGTTCTCTTAGATACCATTTTATTTTTAAAATTATTTTAACTTTTATTTATTTATTTATTTATTTTAATTTGACCAGAGAGTGGTAGAGAGTGATAGAGAAATAGAGAGAGGAAGCGAGAAAGCAAGACTCCAGGTCCAGGACTCAAACTGTGGTCAGCCATGTGGTAGTCCATTGCCCTTAACCTCCCTGCCACCTGCTAGCCCCATAGATAGCATTGTAAAATCACTTCATATTATTCAACTTTTGATTGTAAAGTAATGTATTTAACCGATTTTCTAATATTGAACCTTAACTTGTTTTCAAGTTTTTCATTTGTGTAGGTAACACAGATAAACTTTCTTATCAAAAATGTTTGTTTGTTATTACTGATTAATTGCCTAGAATCTACTCAGAAAGTAAAATTACTGGGTCAAAATATTTAAACATTATTATTAACCAGCTTTCCAGAAGGTTTGCACCAATCTTTATTTCATATACGAACATATGAAGTATATGTTGAACATGCTTGTCAACTTCTGCTGGGCAGATATACAATAATACTGCCTTTTGATAGTTTTCTGTCTTTGACTACTGAGCCATAATTGAGATTGCAGAGTGTCTGGGCTGACTCACCCGGAGGGTCTTCAATGCTTCCTACACTTTGCCAGGTTCGATAATTCTGTTTAAGTTCTGTGTTTTAGGTAGAAAATACAGGGCTATGATTATGGAATTGGTTTTGCATCTTCCTCTACCAACAGGATTACCAGGGATGGCCCAGGAGCTCTAAAAGGGGATAAGACCTCCTATGATTTCAATTTGACTTAAGAAATAATGATGTCCATATGCAAAGCCGGGAAGCTCAAAGCTGACATTTCCCCCCCACCCTTTTTTTTTCCTTTTTAAAGCTGACTTCATATAGAGTCAATTACCCTGAGCAGCTTATGTTTTAGTTTGGGCTAATTATCCCTGAATCGGACATACTGAGGAAACTCTGCATTCACAGACAGGGGGCATCAAGCGAGGCTAGGGAAGCAGTTATGAGGCCAAAGGGGGAACTTCAAAGCCACAGTGAAAAAGCCCAAAGGAAAGAAAACAAAGACTCGTAACATATTTGCAGAATGAAATGGGAGCCAGAGTTGGGGCAAAGCAGAAGCAATTAATTCATTTCTTTGGAAGCTAATTCATGTATCTTTACCCTGAATCTCCAAGTCCCTTTCTCTGTTTCAGGTCCAATGTGCCTGTGTTTTGAATACCTAATTAATTAGAACATGCATTGACTTACTTTGCCAAAGGTGCATAATTTATCTTGCTGGGCTCCTGAAGTTATTTCGGGTAAGTTTTTTGAAATATATGTAAATGGATTTGCTGGAGTTCTGCGTTTCAGTGACAGAATCCAGGTATTCTCATGGGAAGTGTTAAATGTGTGTGTGTGTTTTTCCTCCCATGGTGATCTTTATTTTATGTATGTATGTATGTATGTGTTTTTTTTCCTTTGAGAGGTTTTTGCTATAGGGCGCGTGCGATCGCCAGACAGACAGAGAGAGACAGAGAGACAGAAAGTGAGAAATCACCCCCCCCCCAGGGGGATGGCCATGCCGCAATCCCTTCTCCTCCATTCTCCTCTCGGGATCTTGGGCACACAGCACACGCGCCCGGTGTGAGTTTTAAGCCACCAGGTCCAGGACGCAAACCGTGGTTGACTACGTGGGAGTCCAGTGACATAGCCATTACGCTAACTGCTGGTCCCATCACATGGTGATTTTTAAAACCGGGGCTTGGGTGGGCATTTTACTGACAGGTGATTGAAATGAAGGAGCAGTGTGGTTGTATTTGGGATTTCTGGGCTGAAGGTCATATCATGCTATTGTGATGAGAGCCTCAGTTTCCTCATTGGGGAAGTACGAGCATCACTGAATTAGAGGGGTTCTGAGGGACCCTTCATGGCATGCTCCATGTGTCACAAGGCAGCCGAGGTGTGTGCTCTTCACTGAGCCCTTGTTTTGCAAGGTCAGCCTACAGCCTGTTCAGAGGTTCAGACGTCGAAAGCAGAGTACTGAAGAAATAAAGTTCTGCTTTTATAAACTCATCCAGAATTTTTAAGCACAGAAATCTAGAAAAAGGCATTTTGACTGTATCACAGTTTAGCTGTTGTTTTCATTGGGGTTAGAGCAAGTTTTGAATTAGAATCGTGGGTGAGAATGGAGGGTAGGTGAGCTTTTCAGAGCACAGGGACTCTGAGGGACTTGGCCAGACCTGTGCTGGCCTGCAGGTCCTGAGTGGTGAGTGCTAATCAGAATTTAGACTCTAGTGGTGAGGGTCCAGGAGGCTAGCATGTCTTAGCTCCTGTCTTGTTAATTTCCAACACTAAAGTTTGGGGGTAAAGTAGAGGGGCATTTTCTTTGAATTATTCTTATTTCCCTTTGGGCTATTTTTGGGTCATTTGAGCCTTCTTCCCAAGGTTGCAGAAATTCCAAAAATGACCTTTTGCTTCCTGTGACTTTTCCAGATGAGGAGCAAGGATTTTGTCAGCATAAACATCTATGTAAGCATGTGTCTGTGTGTCAGCCACATCAGCTACCTACCCAAAGGGGCAGTAGCCTTACAGGGGTTCTCTCCAAGGCTGGAAAGGAGAGGAGAGAGGGCCACGTTTTCCTATTTTCATTACTTTCCTATTTGGAGTCTAATTTCAAATATATCTTGTTAACTTCTTATTTTAAAGATTTTTGTTATTCATAATGGAGTATGCACTTACAAGACAGAGGGAGAGAGAGAATGACAGACAGACAGACATGCGGCACAGGGCCTGGCCACTTTGTAATCTGTAATCTCCTTCTAGGCCTCCAGTTCACCAGGACAGGAATGTGCACCTGTGTCCAGTATTTTTCAGGTTGACTTGCTGGGGATTTGAACTACAATCAGCATGTGGCTTCCAGCTACACAGTCTGGTATGCTACCAACTGCTCCACAGAGGCCTAGCCCCTGTCTTATTAATTTTCAACAGTGAGGTTTGGGAATAAAGGTAAAGGGATATTCTTATTTCTCTTTGGGCTATTTTTAGGCTGTTCAAGTCTGATGACCGTCTTGCACCTGTTGCAGTGAAAACACCCGGTCTCTACACAGACACCAGAATACTAATGCTGGGATCAGTGCATCACATTCTGTTATGGTTCAGGTGCGTATGTCTTAGGTCAAGTTATTTAACATTTTATGTCAGTGAGAGCCAATGCCAAATGGAATTTTTATGGAGCTGAATGCTTTATCCGTGGAGGATAATCATTTATATCTGGGTTAGTGGGCTTCAGAGGAGAGCAGAGAGCCTTCCCACCCCCAATCCACACCTCAAACAGTCTTTAGGAGACAGACACAGACAGAAAATGGCAGAGGCCAAGAAAGGGACAGTGACTTGACATCTTAAGCCGCTGTTGTTTGGGCCCAAGGTCATAGGTCAGAGGCCAAGATATGTTTTTGGCCTGAAGAATGTTCAAAAATTTTGCCTCTATTACCAGCCTTTTATTTTCATATTTTACTTATATACTTAAAGGCAGGGTCGTGTCATGTCATGATCATCTTGCCTCAGCCTCTCAGTAGACATACAGGCATTCCTCATCATGCCTAGTTCATTTTTAGACAGGGCCTCACAGTGTTGCCTAGACCAGACTCAAGCTCGCAGTCCTCCTGCCTCAGCCTCCCTAACTGCTGTACTGCTCTGCCCAGCCTTTCCATTAGACTAGGCACTGTCCCCAGAACTCCAGTGTGGTCCCAGCCTGTGGAGTACAGGCTCTTAGTAGCACCTGCCACTGTGGCTGGGCTGACTGCCCGCTTTAAAAAAGGCAGTGATTTTGCATAAATTCTGATTCTCAGCTTCTTTTGGAAAAGAATTTCGGACAACACTGAGCTGGCATTTCCCCATGGCAACGGTTTCTGGAGCTGAGTGGGGCTCCACCCTCCCCAGCCCTCTCCCTGTGCTGTGTCCCTCCCCCGCCTCCACCATGACTGTGCTGATTCCATGACTTGCTTGGCTGTGGCCCTGGCTCCACACCAATGCTGTGGACACCAGGCGAGGAAATCTTTTGTCTCACTTGCCTCGATTTTCCCAAAAGTAAAACAAGGAATTGAATCAATAGGGTCTAAACATCCCTTTCAACTCTCAGATTCCATGATTCTGGGATGATTAAGTATTTTAAAATATTCTACTAACTTCAGGTTTGTGCTCGACTGCTGCGGGCTGGTGCGAGCCCAGCCTGGCTCTGCACAGCCCTGTCTGTTGTACAGGCCTGTCTACTGGCCCGGGTCCTCTCACCTTCTCTCCCATCCTGACTGGATTCCGTGAGTGAGAAAACCACTGGCCAAGAGCTAGCCCATCTCGAGTTTCACCTTGGATCTGCCATGAACTTATTCCCATAGTGCTGCTCATGTCCTGGTCAGTTTCCAACTCTGCAAGGCTGGAAGGAATTTCTTCAAGCTGCAATATCTCCTGACCCTGAGGTCCACTTGGTTCTATAGGAAATGTCATGGAAAACCTGCAGGACACGTTGCCTGGTTTCCCCCTGCAAAGGGCTTGGCAGTGCATTGAGGACAGGACTTATCAGACGGCCCTGGCCTCTGCTCTCAGGAAGCTTCCCACAAAGGAGAAGGATAACATATCTGCTGAAGACTCTACAGTAGAAGAGGAGATAAACATTCCCCTCCCCCCTTTTCCATGTAGTGGTCATTTGTATTTACCACCTGGGATAATGCTGAGAAACAAAAAGGAATACTTTAAAAAGAAATGCCAGCAGGTGGCATGGTGAAGGTGCTGGATTCTCACATGGCTGACTGCAGTTTGAGTCCTGGCCCTGGTGGCTTGAAAATGGCAGTGGGCATGTGTGTGTGTGTGGCTCAAATCCCAGAACAGAGGAGAAGGGATTCCTGCATGGCCATCCCCCTGGGGATAATTTCTCACTTTCTCTTTACTGTCTCTTTCTCTCCAGTGAGAACATGTGACGTATGGAAAAAAGGTAAAAAAAAAAAAAAAAAAGGCAGAAAAATGAGATGTAGAGGACCAGCAGGTGGCATGGAATTTGAGGCAACTAGACCCCACGTGGCTAACTGAGTTTGAGTCCCAGACCTGGCAACTTGAAAGTCATGCCAGGCATATGTACATGCGTTCTCAAAATCCCAAGAGGAGAATGGAGGTAAAGGCATTGTGGCATGGCCATCCCACCTGGGTCGGGGAGATGATCTCTCACTTTGCCTCTCATTTGCATTCTCTCTCTGCCCTTCTCTGACAAGCACACATGATTTGTAGCAAAAAAAAAAAGTGCAGAAAAATATAAAAATTAGGTTAAAACGTGTGTCCTGTAAGATTGATTTTTCTAAAATACGATTCCCAAGATGTACTCAAAACAAGCTTTGACCCTAAAGATCTCGTAGCAAGTTCAACTTCCTTAACAGACCCCTTCCTTGGCTCCAAACAGCCAGCATGGCTGCCTTTTGTTCCTGGCCAGCGAGAGAAACCATGACCACCCTCCTGTCCTCTCAAGCTTCCCTTCCTACATGGCTTGCCCTCCCAGCCTCTCCTCTGTATAAATCCAGGGCAATCTCCGGGACTCTACTTCTGTTCCTCATATCTTCTCTGATTACGTTCTCTCAGTCCCTCAACTCTCTGTTTTTGACATGTGCCGCTGGCTGTTAAAATCTTTCCCTCTCTGTGTGACCCCTCTCTCCAGCTCCAATGCAAGCTTCCTAACTACAGAGTTAGAACTTTGAACCCCTGCCTTATGGGGCTTGGACACTGCAAAGGCTCAGTAGATGTTTGTTGAGTGAATAAAGGAATGAGTGACTGAGCGAAAGGAAAGCTAAAGGGAATGAGGGTTACCCATGCCCGCGGTGCGCTAGCCCTAATAGGGTACAACTCTCCGCCTGCATTGTTAGTTTCTCGCCAGCTTTGCCTTGCTCTCAGTGTGGCTGGGGAGCTGTCCCTGCTCCGAGGCACACGGGTGTGCAGGACTGCCCAAGCTGAAAGGCACCGACTTTCCAAGGTTGTCTTTTCTCCATGCTCCGGAAGTTGACTAGCTGATGAGTTCTCAGAGAATATTCACCATTTTCCTTCCTCTAGGTGCAATGTAAGGAGGAGATAGGCTGGTCACTTTGTCTTCCTTATCTGTAATACTGCAGCCAAACATCATTAGTCTGACCAGTGAGGGATGAAGGGCAGACGGAGGAGGGAGGACGCCTGACCACATGCCCACGTCCATGAACCTGCAGTTTATCTTCTCTAACTATTTCTCGTAATTTGACTGACACTGTCTAGAAGTTACTCAGATACCTATTTTAATAAATAGACAAAAGCAGTATATAGTAAGTGTATTAGGGTTCTTTAGAAAAACAGGACCAGCAGGATGTGTGTGTGTGTGTGTGTGTGTGTGCGTGTGCGTGCGTGTGTGCATAAATGTGTGTGTATTTAGTACATATAATCCTTCTAAGGAGCTGGCTCCTATGATTACAGAGGCTGTGAGTCCCAAGTGCAGGTGAGTTAATGAACTGAAAGTCAGGAGTGCTGATATTTCAAGCAAAGTCCAAATTCAGTAAAAAAAAAAAAAAAAAGGTCCTAGTTCAAAGACCAGAGGAAAAAGGGGGCCATCGGGTAGTGATGAGGGCCAGCCTTTTATACTACTCACGTCTTCAACCGGTTGAATGAGACACACCACATTAGAGATTGCAATGTGCTTTACTCTAGTGATTTGTTAATCTCATCCCAAAAAACCCTCACAGAAACACCCATAGTAAAGTTTGACCAAGTATCTAGGCACTTTCTCATCTAGTCAGGCTGACACATGAAGTTAACCATTACAGAAACCAAATGAAGAGATTTTCATATAATGAATAATTTTTGTTTTTTTGGAGAAGTTTTTGCTGAAGGGCATGTGTGCTCACCAGAAAGACAGAGAGAGAAATAGAGACAGGAAGCGAGAAATCGCCCACGCCACCATCCTTCTCCTCCATTTTCCTCTCAGGGTCTTGGGCACAGATGCACACGCGCCTGGCATGAGTTTAAGCCACCAGGTCTGGGACTCAAACCACAGTCGACTGCATGGGAGTCCAGAGACGTAGTCATTTTGCCATCTGCTGGTCCCAAATATAATGAATAATTTTAAGGTGGTTTTTAGTCCTTGGGGATAATTTCTTCTATTTTACCTTGTCTAATAATTCTGAAATATTATCTCCACTATAAAGGGACCAACTTCTCAGACTTTTGAAAAGGAGGTAGGGAGAATGGAGGAGGATAGGTAGCAAGTGGTGAGGGGCACACACCTCTCCAAGGAACCCTCCATGCACACCACAAGGAACCCCGTCCTTATGTGTGAGAGAGTGAGCACAGCTTTTCCAAGACCAGAACTGGAAGATGGAGGGTGTACAATGATTTATAATGACCTTTGTAACCTGTCTTTCACCTTAATGAAAAGAACTGAAGAAGTGTGGGACCTGCAGAAGAAAATTCAGAGCCATGAAGATCGGCAAGAGGTTCACCCCAGACATTCTAGACTATTTCTAACACAATGTTTTGGAGGAAGAACCCCTTGAAAGATGGTGTAATTTTATACATCATTTCTATAATAATAAAATCAAAAATAATTGTCCAGTTCTGGGACCAGCAGTTGGCATAATGGCTACGTTTCTGGACTTCCATAGAGTAGATTGCAGTTTGAGTCCTGGACCGGGTGACGTAAAACTCACATCAGGTGCATGTGCATGCGTGCCCAAGATCCTGAGAAGAGAATAGAGAAGGGATTGCGGCGTGGCCATCCCCCCTGGGTGTGTGTGTGTGGGGTGATTTCTCGCTTTCTGTCTCTGTCTCTCTTTCTGGTGAGCGCAAGTACCCTATAGCAAAAACTTCTCCAAAAATAAAAATGATGTCCAGTGCTTACTATATACCTATACAGTGCTAGATGTTTGATATTCATTTTTAAAATTCGGTTTAGCCAGAAATTTATAGGTGAAGTGTTGTTTCCATTTTGCAGATGATAGAACTCTATCAGGGCTGGCATTCTGCTAGGGCAGTGATAATGTGCTGCTCAAAACAAGCTGGATTCCACATGGCAACTGAAGCTTGAAACCCTGGCCTGGCCAGCCCGGAACATGCTGGGCACAGGTATGAGTGCCCCAGATCCGAGGAGCCGGTGGACTACAGAAAGGTGATTGTAGTGGGACTAGATCCTATGGGGGTGGGGGGGTGGGGGTGCTCATCTCTCTCTCTCTCTCTTTTTCTCTCTCATGTGTTCACAACACCTGCTGTCGTGAATGAACAAAACAAAACAAAACAAAAAACAAAAGTGAAGCTCAGAGACTTTATCCAGGTTGCAGAGCCGAGAATGAGGCTAGTCTTCTGACTCGAAAGCCCACAACCATCTCCTACCTCCAGGGCTGTACAGTTGTGAGAATAACCCTATTGTGCTACAGGAGGGTTAATTTCTCCCAGAGACCTCCTCCTGAGTTCCCTCCCTCCTCTGCGTGTACCCACACCAACAAGGGGAAGCTGATTTTGTGGTGATGGATGAAAATGGCTTGATGATTCTGTATGTTACGTGGGTAAAAGCAGACTCTACCTGTATCAAACATCTGTTCTTTTTTCATTACAGAATTATCCTGAGACAGAATAAAAGATGTGGAAGGGGGCAGACAATTTCAGCCCACAACAATTTTCCATTTTAGAGTACTTTTGCAAATGGTGCTGAAAGAAAGTATTCCATGTGGAACAGGTGAGGACACTCTGTTCCTTCCAAACAAACCTGGAAGGAAAAATGAATGGAAAAAACAACTTTTATTTTAAAAGCATTAAAAGGCTGCTGCTGTGCACACAGCCGCCTCCTCTGGGTAACCATGCTGTGCCCAGCACATGGCCACACTCCAGGGTGACAGAGATGTGAGGGCCAAGGACCGGGGGAGCCGGTGGACTACAGAAAGGTGATTGCAGTGGGACTAGATCCTATGGGGGTGGGGGGGTGGGGGTGCTCATCTCTCTCTCTCTCTCTTTTTCTCTCTCATGTGTTCACAACACCTGCTGTCGTGAATGAACAAAACAAAACAAAACAAAAAACAAAAGTGAAGCTCAGAGACTTTATCCAGGTTGCAGAGCCGAGAATGAGGCTAGTCTTCTGACTCGAAAGCCCACAACCATCTCCTACCTCCAGGGCTGTACAGTTGTGAGAATAACCCTATTGTGCTACAGGAGGGTTAATTTCTCCCAGAGACCTCCTCCTGAGTTCCCTCCCTCCTCTGCGTGTACCCACACCAACAAGGGGAAGCTGATTTTGTGGTGATGGATGAAAATGGCTTGATGATTCTGTATGTTACGTGGGTAAAAGCAGACTCTACCTGTATCAAACATCTGTTCTTTTTTCATTACAGAATTATCCTGAGACAGAATAAAAGATGTGGAAGGGGGCAGACAATTTCAGCCCACAACAATTTTCCATTTTAGAGTACTTTTGCAAATGGTGCTGAAAGAAAGTATTCCATGTGGAACAGGTGAGGACACTCTGTTCCTTCCAAACAAACCTGGAAGGAAAAATGAATGGAAAAAACAACTTTTATTTTAAAAGCATTAAAAGGCTGCTGCTGTGCACACAGCCGCCTCCTCTGGGTAACCATGCTGTGCCCAGCACATGGCCACACTCCAGGGTGACAGAGAGCAAAGAAGGCCGGCTGTGGCCTTGTGGGTGATCGACATGGGGAGCACCAGTGCAGAAAGCAGAAACCCCCTCAGAATGGCTCAGGGACAGTGGGGTAGTGAGGGGAAGCACAGTCCGGGTGGGACCCATGCAGTGGGAGGGGGCAGGAGGCAAGCTGCTGTTCCCTCCATCTAAGGGTCTCCGTGGCATCCCCTCTACTCTGCCCACATGCTGTTTTGTCCTTCATCTGGCTGCCTTCCTAGTAAATGACTGCCATGCCCACCACAGGGAGAAAGTATTCCACAGGATGCAATACCACCCCCCGAAAGAGCTGGAAGGTTGGCCATGAACTCTCTGTGAAGCTTTAATCATGTCCAGTCTCTCATCTTCAGTTCTCACACAAACTTGAGTGTGAGCCCTGACTCTACTTCTTAGCTGGCCTCCAACAAGTCTTGTGACTCCTGTAAGCCTCAGCTCCCTTTGTGGCAGAGTGGAGATGATGGCTACTCTCACACATGAGGGATCTTCAAAAAGCTCACATAGAAGGTGTATTATGAAAAACTATGCATAGATTTCCATGTTTTTTTTTTTTAATTTTAGCTTTTTTTTTTTGCTTCAAAATAAACTCATGCTTTACTTCCATTTCCCCATGACTTTTCTGAGGTTTCCTTGTATACTCATTGGGAGGAGTAAATGAAAGAATTCATGCAAAGTGCTTTGGTGGTACCTCATAAATGGTAACTGTTAGGATTTTTGTAGGTCTCTGAGTTTGGGGAAGTGAGCTATTGGGGCTAGAGTGCTAGCTGGGTTGACTGACAAACCCTGGTTCCTGAGGGCCTGGGCTTGATTTAGTGGGGTCTTTGTTGAGATCAACTGGTGGATGAGAGAGCAAGAGAAAGACTACAAGAACATAACCAAGGGAAGAGGGTGCCAGGAGCCAAACAGAGGATGCCCAAAGCGGGATAGACCTGAATTAAAATTCCAGAGGGAGTGACAGTGACCTTCCCGCTCTGATACTTGTGAAACTAGGTCGTTGGCTGTCGCCTTATGCAGAACATGAATGAGCTAGTGATGTTGGAGGATCTTTTAGGGTAGAGACCATAAGTCTTATCTTCACCTGCTGTCTCACTAGCTCCTACCACAATGCTCAGCTCATAATAGTGAGTCAGTCAACTTTTGCTGTATGAGTGAATGAATGGATGAATGACAGAGGTGAAGATTGGTACAGTAGAAGCGCAAATAGAACTGACTGTGGGTAAGTAGCTATGTAATGTAGTCATGGGTGTTAGTAGGCCCAGGGCATGATAAATGAATGACAGAGGTGAAGATTGGTACAGTAGGAGTGCAAATAGAACTGACTGTGGGTAAGCAGCTATGTAATGTAGTCATGGGTGTTAATAGGCCCAGGGCATGATAGATCTCAGGTTGTAACCAGGTAAATTGGTCTGGTCTACCACCATCTTCATCTTATTAATAACTACCATTATTTGAGCACATTTTTGAGTCCCTATTACATATCGAATTGTCTAATATTTTGCAATCCCTCTGATAGATATTAATTTTCATTTCACACCTATGGGAACTGAGGTCAAGGAATTAAAAATTCTCTGAGGGTTACACATCTAGTGAGTAGAAAAGTTGTAATTCAAATCCAGCTGGGCCTGATTACAAAGAATATTATACCACATGCTAAATATGCAGCCTCCAGGTGGCAGCTAGTGTTAAATAAATTGGGCGACACGTCATGTGTGGTCAGAGTCATGCCTGTGTTGAGTCTGGGAACCAAGAGTAGCCATTTCACAGGCTGAGCAGGACAGTCTTGGCTCTGGGTTCATGAGGGAAAACCCTGGACATAACTACACAGGAAGGGAAAAGAGAGGTTCCTGAGCCCACGGGACATCTCCCCAGTGAGGAAGCCTGAGGAAGGATGTGACTGCAGTGTGAGCACCTCACTCCAGGATGGCGTCCAGGGGAAATGCCTTTGGATGAAGAAGTCATAGTGTCAGGATAGTCAGGTGATTGTTAAGATGAAGGCCTTGGCTAGATATTCTGGATTGTTCTTGCAACATTGTAGTAAGTCAGTAGATAAGACATGTGAGATAGCTCTCTATTTATCTCTAATATCTATCTAATCTATCTATCTATATCTATCTCTTATCATTTATCTATCAATCATGTATCTATCTATCCTTTTGAATTTTTTAGAGCCCTTAAGTTTTGGAATGACTTATTGTGTGCTAATACAAAGCTATGATAATCTTACTTTTGACCTCTTTCTTGCCTAAATTGGGGAAGGCGTCAAGTGTTAGTCAAATAAGAACAATGCCTCTGGAGAGCGGAAGGGAGTAGAATTGGCACATAAGAGCATTTAGAGATGGTTGTGTCTCTGTGGACTGACCTTTTCCTCAGCAGCTCATATTTTGTAAGTTATTACTAGGCGCACATGAGCCCTTAGGTTTAGAAGAACAGGATTGACTGTAATGTTTCTAAGGAAAAAGGGTCATCTTTGAGCAAGTTTCTTTCTAGTCTCCATGTGCTGAAGGAGAAAGACTTGTTCTCTTTCTTGGCTGGGCCATGGGTAGAGTGTTTGTGGTTCAAGGGATCTAGTTTCTAGGGCAGATAAACTTGTTCACAGGGTGAGGATGGGGCTTGTTCTCCTAGGACTCATCTTCTACAAACCTTTAGGGTCAGATGGTGGGCTTCTGTTCTTTATTGAAGTTGAACAGTAGTAAGGAAAGGGTTGCTACTTTATCAATATCTACAGGTGAAAGAAATCGTGCCAAGTTCAAATGATTATAAACATCAATATTTCTGTAAATATCTCATAGTTAAGTACTCTGTGCTTGGCCCTTGAGCTAGGAACTAGTTCTCCAGAGATGGCTAAGACATGGTTTTGACCTCAAAGGGCCTATTGCCCTTTAGAGGCTTAAGATGTGCAGAAGAATTGCAGCACAGGTATCTTTGTCTGCTATTGCATTGCTAACAGGAATAACTGAGACTGGGTAATTCACAAAAATAGAGTTTTTTTTTTAACTCATAATTATGGTGGCTAAAGAGTCCAAAGAAATCATAAAATGGCATAGGACAGAACTCTGAGAAGAGCAGAGCATGGTCAGTATCCACATGGGCCTCCATGTGTCTTGTTCCTCTCCTTATAAGCCTACCAGGACTCAATCATGCAGACTCCACCTTAACTACCCAATCACTAATCTCCTCTCAAAGGCTTGGATCAAGTTTTTATCCTCTTAATTCTGTTGTAGTGGTACAACATCTGAATTTTGGGGGATTATATTTTGAACTATAGCTGTAGGGTAGTTGAGTACCATGTGGAGGATCTGCCAGAGACTGCAGAAGCCCAGAGAAGGAAAGGGGGACATCTATCAAGGACTTCATGGGAATGAATTGGATAGATAAGATAAAACAGAGGCTAGAGCACTTTCATAATGACAGCTTCAGAAACTGAGTGTGTCATAATCCTGTCTTTGCTTCATCAGAGGTTACAGCAGAGGTAAACGTAAGAGGTTCCGGTTGGGCAAAAGAGTCCTCTGTCCTTTGGAATGTGTGTGTAAAGAAGGCTAGAAGGTGGCCCTGGAGATCTCACCAATGGCCCCACGAATGAGTGGTGTTTTTTGCCTGATTTCTTAGTGGCTTGAAAGTGGCAGAGATGATGGTAAAGATGATGGTCTTTATTGAGTGCTTATTGCATGCTTATATATTTTCTCTTTTAAGCTACCAAACATTTATGAAAGAGGACATGTAATTTTCAAGTTTATGAATGAGAAACTGAGGCTTAGAGTCTTTAAATGTTGTAACTAAGACTATACAACTAGTTAGTGGTGGAGATGATTTTCTCATTTCATTCTGTTCTTATTCTACATTTCACAATTTTGCACTTTAGAAAAACCACACTTGGTCCAAGTTAAAGACTCTAAGATTAATCTGTTACTTTGTCATTTTACACAGTGTGATAGTCAGATTATTCAGGATTTGAAGAGGATTCTGAGGTCACCTAGTAACTTCAAC